GAGTTGTAGCCTGTCACCTGCTCATTTGAGGTAGGAAATAAGCCCATCAAAGATATAAATGGGCTTACACAAAAGCCTAGACGTGTTTCATGAATGCCCTGGGTAAGGCCTTGGACTTTACTGGACCTTTATCAGCCTCAAGGTCTAAAAAGAAAAAAATCAATTTGCTACCACTGTTAGTTCCCAAATAATTCCTAGGCCCAACTTTATATATATATGTGCATTTTTTGGTATATATATATGCATTTTTTGGTCAAGTTGTTGTTAGACAATTTATTTATTTATTATTATTTATTTATTGAGAAAATTAAATGATGGTATCAAGTTGTCTTTCGGTATATATTTATACACACAAGAGAAATTATTAGATTCTATTGATGTATTGTTTCTTTAATCATATAAAAATAAAATCTATCACGCTAATGATAATAATTCGGAACGTTGCTTTTGTAGAAGCTTTGATGAAATTCTTTCTCATTCCTGTTGAAAGCACACTAACATTTTGAAATTATTCTCGAGCTTTGTTGGGTTGACGTTAAAGCCCACTAACATCTTAAAATTATTCTCGCAGCTTTTTTGGTTTGATGTTAAAGCCCATCGACGTTTTGACATTATTCTCAGATATTTGTTGGGTTGATGTTAAAGCTCATTAACATTTTGAAATTATTACTTAAAAAAAAAAAAAAAACAGTGAAGGTCGGGCTCGACGCCTTGGCTCGAGCTCGAATGGGCTCGCACTTGTCGGCCCGCCTCCTCACCCGTTGTTATTTTTTTCTTTTATTATTCTTTTTGCTTTTTTTGGTCATACTCTTAATTTTCTTCCAAAATAAAATTAATAAAATGATATCATTTTTTAATTATTATTAGATTGATGTTAAAAAAATTGTTGAAAATTCTTAATATAGACTTTAAAAATTAAAAATACAACCAATTCGGGGTGTTCACTATTCGATGAAAACCGAATAACCGAACCGAATCGAATTGCACCGAAATATAGCCGGTTTTCGGTTTCGATTTTGTTTTTTTTTTAAATTCGATTCAAACCGAATAACCGAAATTATTAAATTTGTTTTTTAAAATTCATCGATGAACAACGTCGTTCATTCCAATCCTCACACCCTCACCTCACCCTCACGCAAACCTAAGCTAATTGGAGTTAAATCAATTAGCCTATAACCAATTCTTGTTGCATTGATTACATGAGCCAACTAGCCCAACGCCAAATCACCATAATCAATTCTTGTTTATAATTGCCCAAGAAGATACATAATTTTTTTCTTGATTCAATTTATAGTTTTTTAAAAAAAGATGTGAGATAATGTTTTTTTTTCTATGTGAAAGAAAACTAGTTAATTTATAGACCCTAATAATAATTAGTATGTCTATTTTTAGTAAACGCATATAATTTAAAATTGCACTAAAGAAAGTTGAGTGTTTAAAGTTTTAATGTTCTTTATTGTTCAAAAACAACATTGCCATTTAATTAGCAAATGTTAGCTTATGGATGTAGTGTTTAACAAGTTATCCAAAATTATTAATTCTAATTACGTCAAGTTAATTAAAAGTGTATTTCATAAAGACAAATAAGTCAATTATATTTGAGCTTCAAAGCATGCTCGTTTCTTTTTAAAAGGAATTGTTAAAATGTCTTAGTTGTAACACATGTTTGATGGTATTATCTACCGATACCGATAGACATATATATATATATATATCAATTGATATTATATTAGTAATGTCTATTGAGGAGTACTAAAATAATAGTAAATAGACAGAGTTCAATGAGATTGAAAAACGTATACATAACATAGCCTAAAATTGCAATGCAAATACTAAATTTATTTTTTCGAAAGTGCATGATTCTTTCAAAAATCAAAAGTATAGATAATTACGAGTGAAAACCGAATTACCGAATAAAAAAACCGATATATTTCAAAACAGAACCGAAAAACCGAATAGTAATTCGGTTTGGTTTCGGTTTTTTTAGATAATTCGGTTAACCAAAAACAGATAAAAAAGTTCGAAACCGAACCGAATTACCGAACGAACACTCCTACAACCAATCATATTTCTTGATTCTATTCAGCTCGATAAATTTTTTATTACAATAGATTTTTTTAGTGCATGATTTATACGATATAATGAATATTGACCAAAATATATTACTACTCAGCGAAAATTATCAAAATAAAAAAAATTAAATAAACATTATTGAATTGTTCAACAATTTACATGTCATTGCTTCGTAGAAAATTCTAATTAATTTGAAATATTTAATTCTGAATTTATTTGGTGTCCATTGAACACAAAATAATGTGAATAAATAAATATCATTTTTTTTAAGTAATGACATTTCACTACAAAAACATTTATATATTATGGTAATTTTCATTTCTAGTTATTCGTTATAGTTATTAAATGGATGATCTACCGTCCATATCTTGCCTTTTCTCTTCTTCTTTTTTCTCCTTCTTTCTTCACGGTAAATGATTTTAATCATTAGAGTATTACAAGAATTTTAACTGACCAGGACGAATTAATTAGATTATTTTGTCGACTCAAACATAAATGTAAAAAATAAATAAAAAATTACTCCATAATTTCATGTTTCGACCTATTACATCATATTAAACAAATTAAATCGTCAATCTATTTTACAATATTCATTTTTAATAAATACAATACCAGCAGTGAAATTCGAGCATCTTTTTCTTAAAAAAAAAAAAAAAAAAAAAGAGGTCAAACCCTAAATGGGTTGTCAAGAAAGAAAAGCGAAAGGGAGTGTTGGTTCAAATAATATCTTGAAGTGGGCTTAGTTGGTTTTACATGTTGACCAACAAACTTGACAAACCATGATATATAGGCCTATGCATCAACGTGTTCCCCGACCAAACATATTTTGGGGGATCCAGAGTCGTATGAAGGCTTTTTACTGTCCAAATAGCGGCCTCTACTTGACGGTTTCTCAGTTGACTCGAAAGATGACGCTGAGGCTCGTATAAAACGGTTATCAATTAAGAATATTCAATAAACGGTTATCCATTTTATTTTATTTAATAAATATCAATTAAGAATATTCAATAAGTATTGAAGTGAATAAAAATAAAAAAATATAAATTCATTTATATGATTTCGGGATATGAATATTCACTATTTGCTCTATTAATACTCACTAATTTATTTAATTTTTTTATTAACATGCAGAGATATAATTATATAAAATTAAAAATTAAAATATTCTTTAATCAAATAAAAATAAAATCTATCACGATAATAATTCGGAATGTTGCTTTTATAGAAGCTTTGATGAAATTCTTTCTCGTTGATGTTAAAAGCCCACTAACATTTTGAAATTATTCTCAGAGCTTTGTTGGGTTGAGGTTGAAGCCCACTAATATTATTCTCAGAGCTTTGTTGGTTTGATGTTAACGCCCATTAAGATTTTGAAATTATTTCAGAGCTTCGTAGGGTTAATGTTAGAAGCCCACTAACATTTTAAATTATTCTCAGAGCTTCGTTGGGTTGATGTTAAAGCCCATTAACATTTTTAAATTATTTTCAGAGATTTTTTGGTTTGATGTTAAAGCCCATTAACATTTTGAAATTAATCTGATGGTTTGATGTTAGAGCCCACTAACATTTTGAAATTGCTCTCAGAGATTTGTTGGGTTGATGTTAAATCTCATTAACATTTTGAAATTATTACTTAATATATATATATATAGTGAAGGTCTGGCCTGACGCCTTGGCTGAAGAATTTATTCTCAGAGCTTTTATGCATGTGCATGGGCCTGCACTTGTTGGCCCGCCTCCTCACCCGTTGATTTTCTTTTTCTTTTATTATTCTTTTTACTTTTTTCCACAAAAAAAAATTGATATCATTTTTTAATTATTATTGGATAGATGTTAAACAAAATTGTTGAAAATTATTAATATAGTCTTTAAAAATTAAAAATACAACCAATCATATTTCTAGGTTTTATTCAACTCGATAAATTTTTTATTGCAATAGATTTTTTTATTAGTGATTTATAAAATGTAATGAATATTGTAAAATTATCAAAATTAAAAAATTAAATAAATAATATTGAATTGTTCAACAATGTACATGTCATTGCTTTGTAGAAAATTCTAATTAATTTGAAATATTTAATTTTGAATTTATTTGGTGTCCATTGAACACACAAAATAATGTGAATAAATAAATATCATTGTTTTAAGTAATGAAAGTTCATTACAGAAACATTTAAATATGATGGTAATCGTTCAACAATATACACACAAAAAGTTGGTCGAACAAAACCATGCGATGGCTTAAATAGTTCCATTTGACTGGAAAAGAGAGAGTGACATTCCTAGCTTGTTGCCTATTCATCAGAGATTGGTAAGTCCATTATTAATAAATCGGATTTTAATCCGAATTTGAAGTAATTAAGTAAATTTGATTTTTAGGATTTAAGTTTGATTATAATCTGAATTCATTAACATGTTCGTTAAATTGATTAAACAAGGATTTTATCTCAATATAATTCGATACAAAATTAATATTAATATTATTTCTAATAAATATAATTTTCTTTAAAAATAAAAAATTAGAAAGAGTATGACACTAGGTTTAGATTTACAATTTATTTATTATAAATTAAAAAAAAATATTCTACGAAATATTCTATATTTTGTTTTTTTCTTATCTATTGATGACTGTGTTTCAAAAAATTACATGATAATTTTTTTCATCATCTTTCAAATCTCAATTTAATTTTGTGATAAATTCTACAGATATTATGAAAAAAAAATAATGAAAATATTACTGCTGATACGATACTTGTATTTTTAATTTTTAAAATTCTGATGCAATCTTTTTTTTTTTTTTTTTTTTTCCATTTCAAAAGATTTTCTATTTAACGGCGAAAGACAAAGCGATAGTTGTAGCCTGTCACCTGCTCATTCGAGGTAGGAAATAAGCCCATCAAAGATATAAATGGGCTTATAAAAAAAGCCTAGACGTGTTTCATGAATGCCCTGGGTAAGGCCTTGGACTTTACTGGACCTTTATCAGCCGCAGGGTCTAAAAAGAAAAAAATCAATTTGTTACCACTGTTCGTTCCCACATAATTCTTAGGCCCAACTTTATATATATATATGCATTTTTTGGTCAAGTTGTTGGTAGACAATTTATTTATTTATTATTTATTATTTATTTTTTTGAGAAAATTAAATGATGGTATCAAATTGTCTTTCGGTATATATTTATACACACAAGAGAAATTATTAGATTCTATCGATGTATTGTTTCTTTAATCATGTAAAAATAAAATCTATCACGCTAATGATAATAATTCGGAATGTTGCTTTTATAGAAGCTTTGATGAAATTCTTTCTTGTTTATGTTGAAATTATTCTCAGAGCTTTGTTGGGTTGACGTTAAAGCCCACTAACATTTTAAACTTATTCTCGAGCTTTTTTGGTTTGATGTTAAAATCCATTGACGTTTTAAAATTATTCTCGGAGATTTGTTGGGTTGATGTTAAAGCTCATTAACATTTTGAAATTATTACTTTAAAAAAAAAAAATAGCGAAGGTAAGGCCTGAGGCCTTGGCTGAGTCTCTAATGGGCCTGCACTTGTCGGCCCGCCTCCTCACCCGTTGTTTTATTATTATTATTATTATTATTATTATTATTCTTTTTGCTTTTTTTTTTTGTCATAGTCTTAATTTTCTTCCAAAATAAAATTAATAAAATCATATAATTTTTTTAATTATTATTATATTGACGTTTAAAAAATTGTTGAAAATTCTTAATATAGACTTTAAAAATTAAAAAATCATATAATTAATAAAATCATTCTTAATTTTTTTTTTGTCATAGTTTTCATTTCTAGTTATTCATTATAGTTATTAAATGGATGATCTACCGTCCATATCTCGCCTTTTCTCTTCTTCTTTTTTCACGGTAAATGATTTTAATCATTAGAGAGTTAATTAGATTATTTTGTCAACTCAAATATAAATGTTAAAAAAAATAAAAAATTACTCCATAATTTCATGTTTTGATATTACATCATAATAAACAAATTAAATCGTCAATCTATTTTACAATATTCATTTTTAATAAATACATTACCAGCAGTGAAATTTGAGCATCTGTTTTTCTTGAAAAAAAAAAAAAAAAGGTCAAACCCTAAATGGGTTGTCAAGAAAGAAAAGCGAAAGGGAGTGTTGGTTCAAATAATATCTTGAAGTGGGCTTAGTTGGTTTTACATGTTGACCAACAAACTTGACAAACCATGATATATAGGCCAATGCATCAAGGTGTTCCCCGACCAAACATATTTTGGGGGATCCAGAGTCGTATGAAGGCTTTCTACTATCCAAATAGTAGCCTCTGCTTGACGGGTTGTCAGTTGACTGGAAAGATGAAAATAAATAGAATATAAAATAAATATTTATTTTATTCGGTCTAATATATATCAATTAAGAATATTCAATAAGTATTAAAGTAGGTAAGAGTAAAAAAAGTATAAATCCAATTATATGATTTCAGGATATGATTATTCACTATTTATTTTATTAATATCCACTAATTTATTTAATTTTTTTTATTAACATAGAGATCTAATTATATAAAATTAAAAAATTATGAATCAAAATATTTTTTTGAAAATTTTGAGGACTAAAAAAACTTATAAATAAATTATCAAAATGTAAAAAAAAAAATAATCAAATTTTAAGATAAAAAAACTTTTCTTAAAATTATAAAGATTAAAATAAATATTTTGATAAATCAAATTTAACGGATATTTAATGAATTTTAAATGAACCGATAAACTAATATGGACTGAATAAAAATATGTATAGTTAATTTTTTATAAATAATGGATAAAGTATTCTTTTAATAAATAGATAAAAAAAATTAAATTAATAAATCGAGCATTTGTATATTATCATCCCTAGTTGACCCATCCTCGAACTATAGATGTGTCCAGCTCAATTTAAACGCAACCTCCAAAGGATTGGTTCTTGATGTTGTGTTGCTTTTTGTCTTGATTGTAGATCATTGATGCTAATTTATCATTGAAAGAAACAAAAAGCAAAAAAAAAAAACACACACACACACACACAAATCTATGTTTATTGTCATAAAAATTGTGGAATATTCCTATACTCTTTTAGCATTCCTGTCACCGACAGACCGACTACACTGACTGGCACTATGGCCCATTAAATTCCTTTTGACAAAAAAAAAATAATAATAAGAGAGTAGATATAGATAGCTGCGTTTTAGTACAACATCAATAAAGTTATGCCATAAATTCAATTTATCCAAAAAAAGAAAAAAAATATTAGTGCACTGAATAATTCTTTCCTCTTGGTCTCTTCTTCTTCGTACACACAAAATAAATAAATAAATAATAAAAAAGAAAAAAATTGAATTTATCAATTTGTCAGAAGGGATTTGACAATTCACAGTATTATTAGATCGGTCAGACTGAAATAGACAATTTTCTTTTCTTTTCAGCATTAACAAGCATCATGGTGGGTGGCATATTGTCGGTGCTGGTAGTTCTAAAATATATTTCATGTAGAAATAATTCATTTTCCTTGCGATAAATAAAGAGTAAATTTTAAATTATTCTCTTTAAGATTTGAAAAATAAAATTAATAAGTCTTTTCTTTTTAAAAACTGATTTTTTTTCTTTTTTATCCATTTTTTTTAAATTAGAAAAGAAAAAAATATGATAGAAAGATTAAATAGAAAAATACTTTTTTAAATTAAAATAAAATAAAATACAATAAAGCGTAATCGAAACTAGCAACAAAAGCTAAAAAATAAAGGGAGCAAATAAAAGAAAGAATATACTGATTAATAGTACCGGCGAATTAATAGCACTGATTTTTTAGATGGTGTAATTCTTGTTTTTATTTTAATATACCGAAGACCATAGATTTGTTTTTAATATCCTTATAGTTTAAAACTTCTCAATGTTACCCTTTTCAAAAAGTTTCAATATTACCCGCAACCAATTTAATAGCCAATTTTTTAATTTCATTTTTAATTTTTTTTTTGTAAGATATTATAAATTATACAGGAGTTTGAGAGGGAAAAAAGAGAGAGAGAGAAAGTAAGAAAAATAAAATAAAAATATAGAAAAGTCAGTTTTTTATTGGTTATTTAGTCCCGATTCTAACGGGAAAAACTTTTTTTTTTTTTTTTACTAAGAATGAAATTAAGTAAGTTTGAACTATATGGATATAAGTGGAAAATTGATAAATTTATAAGGACAAAAATATAGTTTACACTCAATTGGTGGCACTAAATATAACCTTTTAATATGATTGATTTTGCATCATATGGATCAAATTCAAAGTAATAATTTTTCTTTTTCATGAAAAAAAGAGAGAGGTAAATTCGAATATTGATTTACCATGAAATTGGGTCATTCTCTTAAAAAAAAAAAATTAGATAAACTGTTTATCAATTTGTCAGGAAGGATTTGGCAATTTAAAATCTTGTTTTGTTTTCGGCATTTACAAGCATCATGTGATTGACATGTCAGTGCTGGTATTTTGCATTGTGTTTTATGCGAGAAAAACTTCATTGGAAAAAGAAAACCCTACATGTCTTATCAAGGTTGACATGTCATTCCAGAAAACAGTGGTAACCAATTAGTGAGCCACTATCTCCCAAATTAGCATCCAGTAAATTATTGCATTCTTTTATTTTTCAACGAAAAAAAAAATCTATAATTTATCTACACAGAGAAAGCTAATCATATCATATGGACCTTCTTCACTAACCATTTATATTCATAGCAAAATATATTTATTTTTACATCTTTATATCCTGATAAACAGAGTATTCTTAGCTGATAATTTATTTTTTATATTATGATAATTTATTTTTTATGCACCGACTAATGAAGATTTGATTTATGCTTTGCTTTGCTGATTTTTATTTATCTATGATTGACGCATGCTTTAATGAGCACTGGATAAGACAGAGACACAACAACCATTTAGTTTAGACCATAACCATTTTTTTCTGTTTTTGTTCAATATTAAAACATTAAATTAATATATTGTTTAAAAATACAGACTAATATTTCGTTGTTTGGTCAAACACATAAGATAGGTATATCTATTCAATGAGTCTTTTATGTAAATAAAAACTTAATTTCGAGATCATTTACTTAACGGTTAAATTTTTTTCTTTTCAAATCAATCCTATTTAATAAATTTTAAACAGTAACATATTTTTACCAATGATGATATTTTTAAAATATCCTTTTATGATGCTCGTTAATTTAGTAGGGTCATGTACCTTTATCTAGTAGAATTGCAATTTTGATGATTGATGTGGTTGGTAAATAAATATACTTCTCATTTTGTTAATTAAGATTCCATTTATTTGCGAGTGAATTCATAAAAATAGACTTAATTTCGATTACGTAAATTAATCCAAAAACATTAATTAGCTGTCAAATCAAGAAAAATGAAGCAATTGCATCAGGTTTTTACCTTTTCTCCAACACTTTTAATAATCTTGATTAAAAAGTTAAATCTAGAAGCTTAATGGGGGTGTGAGTCTAAGATATATTATTAAATAACTGAAATGTGTGTGCTTTTCTGTCTCTCATATCTTCTTTAGTGGCCTTGTGAATGGCTTTAACTTGTACTTTTGAAATGCTCTTTTTTTTTTTTTCTCTTCTTTTCTTGTCTTTGCACATGTCCTTTAGGGATGCTTACTAATTTAGTAGGGTCATAGGCCTTTATTTAGTAAAATTGCAATTTTGAGGGTTGATTTCGTCAGAAAAAAAGTGTACTTTTCATCTTTTATTAGGGTTTAATTACTAGAATAGATTGTGAAAATATTTTAATATTTTATTCATAAAACGAATGATTTATTTTCTTTTACTAAAATAGAAAGATAGATCGTAATCTAATACGACGATATCGAATTCGGTCAAATCAAGAAAAAAAGTATAATTGCATTGAATTTTTTATCTTTTCACTAACAATTTAATAATCTTAATTATGAAAGTTAAATCTAGAAGCTTATTAGTGTATGAGTCCAAGATATATTATACTATTAGTTAAATAGATGAAATGTGTGTGTGCTTTCCATGCCTCTTCCATTGTGATATTGATTTATGCTGAAGTTTCACAGTAATTGTCTCTCTATTAAAGCTATAGAAAGTCTAGTAGTAATATCCCTTTCGACAATTTTTTTAGGGGGCAATTATTGTTATACACCCAAAAACATAGATTTTAGATTAGGCTTTGTGTTTGCAACGTGTTTTTATATATTTTAAATTATCACATTTGATCTCATTTATTTTAAGAGTTCATAAACGAATAAAAGGTTAAACGTCTTAGTTTAATTTAAAAAATAATAAATTTAGTTTTAATTGATGTGAAAACTGATTCAAAATTACTCTTCTCTCTCTATATATATATTTTTAAAGTGCTTTTTAAAATATATTTGGTTTGAAAAGAAAACGATTTGATGCTTTTATGTGTTTTTAGATTGTTTTGATATACTGCTATAGAAAATATAAAAAAAAACACATAAAATAACATCAAATGGTGATTTTTTTACTATTAGAGATTTGATTTAGTGAAGTCAACTTTGGAGTTCAAAATTTTTAAAGGATTCGATTGCAAAAACACAGGTTGTAAGGTCCTATCCATTAAAAAATTAAATGATGCTTCTTCTTTTTTTTTCAATCTCAATATATTTTTATAAAAGATACCTGTACCCCCATTATTAAATACAAAATTAATTTTGAAGTTTTCAGTGATTTGGCTGTCTTTGATCTTTCTTTTGAAGAAACAATTGGAAGTCAATTGTAATTAACAAAATCCATGATCATCTTTATGAATAATCATAACCAGTTAAGGATTGCAGGCAGGTGTATGGTTGGTTATCCTATTCCTTTATGGTTGGTTACCCTATTCCTTTCCTCACACTCCATCTTCTTCTCACATTGGTCCGGCAGTTCCATGTTTTTAGTAGCTAATATATAGCTAGATGAAGCCAAAAGCGGAAGGTTACTGAATTTGGAATAGGTGCCATGCGTAAAAACAAATCATACCAAAGAACCATACTCCTTGAAAATAGGTTAAACTAATCCACTGTTATCATTTCCTTCTCCACTTTATCAAAGTAGGATTGGATGCTAGTTACTTGGATTGGCAAAAAAAATCATCTTCTATAACTCCCACGTTTTTGTCAGCTTGTAGCCCCAGAAAGAAGCAAGGTATAAAAGTGTTGATTAATTTATCATCAACCATTATATATACTGTTCCATTTAGAAAAGCTGGACAGCCCAAAACAATGATTAGCAGCAAAGTGCAGGCATTGGATCCTTCTAGCATTCTTCAACTAGGGCAAGGAAAAGAAGTACGCACATCCACTTCAACTTTGAAGGGAGAAGGGCTGAAAGCTCAAGAAAAGAATCTACTAAAATATATATATATATATATGTTCATTTATAATCTATCACTGTCAAAAAACCAGGAACCATACAAAATGACAAATGAATTTGAGTACAACATAATACAAGATAGACAGATTAACAGCAATAATCGACTATTGTGCTAACCCCATTTATTTTTATGTTTGTTTCAACTGAATGACACAGACTAAAGGGGTTGCTAAACAAATCTAAGTACATCAAAGAATGGAGGAGATAACAAACCAACTGGAGATAAATCCAAAACACATCCACACACAATGAGAAAAGAACTACTACGTGGCATGCAGTTTAGTTGAAGAAATCCCAAGGGAACTTAGGTTGATGGGCTGAATTATTGGTGGCCGAGGAGGATGTAGATGTCGATGGGGCCGGCGCTATTGCTGGCGTAGAATCAAATGTTTCCCATTGCGTGGTCACGACAACTGGCCCTGATGCTGAATGCTGCTGCTGTTGATGGATCGGTAAATCTTCGAACGACTGTCGCGGCTCTTCTTCTTCAATTGGTATTAGTGCGTGCCCATTGGTATACCTTGGTTGCCTCTCTTGAACTCGGGCTAATTTCTGTCCATTTGAATGTTTGTGGTGTTGCTGCTGCATTGGTGCATGGTTTCCATTACCATTAGGCATGGAATTCTTGATCTGTTCTTCATTACCATTGGGCATGGAATTCTTGATCTTCAACACATCGAGAGTCTCAACATACTTTTGCACTCTTTTAACCTTTATGAACATTAGGAAAGTGACAATGCTCAGCACCATGAAAAAAATATGTTTTACGCAATACTCAAATACTGAATCCAATATTTCCTTCGAATTCAAAATCAAAGCTAATTACCTGCATTTTCCTTTGTAATTTGACATCGCCATCGGCCATGATTCCATCCAATTTCAGCAATTGATTCATCAATGTTTCAATCAAATTAAGCACAGTTTTCTCTGCTACTTTCCCACCTTTAGTTATTACTGATTCAAGAGCTGAAACCTAACCAATTTGCAAACAAAAGATCAATTTCTACTAAACAAGAACTGCTACATTATATGATCATGTTACAAGGCCTAATTTCAAAGAATACCTGGCCGGCAAGCCGGTCAACTTCCAAGCTGATTTCTGATATGGATTTTGAAGCCTTCTCCATCTTGGCACTCTTTCTCATCTCAAGAAACCTCTTCTCCTGACTAATCGGGTCCTCGACTAGCACCATTTTTGACTTGTCCTTAACCCCAGAATTATCAAGAAATGCCTTTGAATCCCTCTCTTTATCTTTGTAAATCAGCTTCTGATCTTGGTGATGCAATCCTGTTGGCCCTGACAGCATTTTCTTCAACTCCCCTGCATCCCAAGAAAACCCCCAAAAAATAATAATAATAATAATAATAAGCATCATCATTCCATCGATCTCTCTAACTACTATAGACATCAAAATTTTGACACACAACTGTACAAAATCTATACATTCACAAAACCTAAACTCCCATTTGAATTGTTACGAAAATAACAAAAATTAAGAACTTTTTCAACAAGTCAAAAAAGAAAAGAAAAGAAAAGGAACTTACCAAAGGTAGCTTGTGAGCTAATACTGATTTCGTGAGACGTTGACCCATATTTAACTTTGACTCTAATTGTCGGTGGAGGAATAGAGTTCCGATCAGAATCCGGGTTTCTCTTCTGTACCAACATTCCTCCTGGTCTAACCTCCCACTCACCTCCAGCACCAGGACCACCACCGCCGCCGGCCGAGCCACCATTCATCGGTGACAGCCCTGTTGTTTTAGCAGTCTTCATTCTCATCATTTTTTTTCTCTTTTTTTGTACCCGTTACAAGAAATTATGAAACTTTGAGACAAAGAGAGGAGACTAGTTAGATCTCTCAAAAATGTGAACCCTGACAACCTTTGCTAGAAACCAAAGCAACCCAATTGAGACAAAGGCTGTTAGACCTTGTTTTAGAAAGCTCTAACCCCAGCATTACACGAGGCCAATCCTAACAGCCACGCGTAGACTTATAAAACACTAACCAAACTTGTGTGTATTTACTCTAATGGCGTCTCTCAAAAGAAAAAAACAAGAAAGAGAGAATAATCTTTGACAACTCTTGCAATTCAAGAAAAACCAAGAATCCAAAACAACAACCTTAAAATCGAGAAACCTATAGCTAAATTCAACCCCTGCCCAGATCTCTCTACAACAAAAATGGAACTCAAGATTTTCAGGAAAATCAAGAAAAACTGATCAAGCAATCTTGAAAGAAACCAAAGAAAGATTAATGAAAGCGAAGAGTCAAATTTCAAGAAATGGGATTCTTTCCTTTCTTTCGCTCTAGAGGTTTCAAGAAAGGAGAGAAAAAAATAAATATATGCTCCTTCAAACAAGAAAATGAAAATAATGTGGAAATTTATTAAAAAACGAGTGGACAGCTAACTAAGCTGCTGTTGCGACCAGAGAAAGTGTATTTATATATAGAGAGATCGTAATTGTAATTAAATATTAATCTTCGTATTATTGTTGATTATTAAACTGTATTATAAAACTAAAAAAGCCGCCAAAGCTTACTGTTTAAAGGTTAAAAAACTTGGGTTCCATTTCCTTTTACCAAATTTCAAGGAAAAAAAAAGTATAGATGAATTTACCACATGCTATCATCTCGAATTCGAATTTACGTTTTATTTTTATAAAATAAAAATAGGACTAAATACCTTGAATGTCTTGAACTAAGAAAAAAATTGAAAAAAAGATAATGTAATTAGTGAAATACAGATGGTTTGTGTCTTGAATGTCAGAATAAAAATACTCAAATATTATTACCATTTTAAAAAGTAAAAAAGGGTAATGTTAAGAAACATGATGGTCTAGGTAAAGATTTGATAGGCTTCCTTTCCAGTTGAATCACACGTGTGTTTTCTAGTGGCATTTAGGGAAATTTAATGTAACCCCAATCATTGTCTTGCTCATTGTTGTAAGAAAAGACGGGACACGTGGCAGTTAATTGTGGTATGTGTCTTTGCCGTCTCTGTATCTGGTAGCAGTGAGGTTAGCTTTAAACCGGTCACGTTTCACTGTTGCTTAATTCACAGGAGTGGCAGTTACAGAGAGGAAAGATTAAGATTTAAGAGTACCTAATTAGGGCTTAATTAGCGAAATAACGGGTTACCATTAGCACTAGTTACGGGTATATGAAATAACAACAAATTTGGCTGTACTGTTTCTTTCTGTTAAATGTTCGTAACTACAAAAATACTGTTCCGGTTATTGTTATTATCATCCTAGTAATTCTCTTGGTCTATCGTTAAGGGTTAGAAATTTTTTTAAAGCATATTATAATTAGTTCTGACCTTTTTTTTTTTTTTTTTTAAATAAGTGTGTTTTTTTTCAACCAATTTACTCATTAATCAAAATTAAATTTAGATTTGAACGATCTTAAAAATTTATCTCTTATATGTATCGATCAATTTATTTTTCTTCCTCGACTATTTGCAAATTTTTTTCCCTATCACGATCGATTTTGTTTTGTTACGAAACAATGCTGAAAAGTTATGAGTGTCAAAACCATTTTTATCTTAGAAGTTAGAATCAAAGACACCAACAGACTCAAAATACTCATGAATGTACTGATTAATTAATTTTTCTTCCTCGACTAATCACAAACTTTTTATCTATTATGATCGATTTTGTTCTATCACAAAACGATAATAAAAAATTATGAATTTTGAAACTATTTTTATCTCAAAAGTTAGAACTGAAAACACCAACAAAAACTCAAATGTTAGATATTATTATAAATTATATTCCGAGACCTCATCTATCAATTTAAGCTTTTAAGTGAGATGGTCCTTTAATATGGTATTAAAGGGTTGACCCAAAAGGTCATGAATTCAAATCTGGTCATCCTCAATTTTTTAAGTATTAAACACAAGAAGATGTGGACTCTGTAAGTTTCAAGCTCAACGTTGAGCCTTTAACTTGAGGGATGTGTTGGAGATTATTATAAAGTATATTCCGAGACCTTATCTATCAGCTTAACTTTTTAGGTGAAATGGTTCTTTAATATCAAAATACTTATAAATGTCAAAATGTAGATTAATGGTTTAACCAACTTTTATCTCTACTAATCAACTTATTTTTCTTCCTCGATTATTCATAAATTTTTATCGATTTTGTCCTATCACAAAATGATTAATAAAAATTATGAATGTCAAAACTATTTTTCTCTAAAAAATTAGAACCGAAGACATCAACGCAAACTCGAAATACTCTGAATGTAAAAACGTAGCTTAATGGTTTAAACACGCACATGTATCAAGCACTATATAGATGCTCATTAAAAATGTAGTTAAGAATAATTATCTTTAAATATTTTTTTGGTAAACTATTGCTGATAAATGAATTTTTTTTCGTGCATGGTCCAATTAATTAAATGTGCAATCCATATGATCAGCAGTTGGGTTCACTGATTGGTGGATTTTATTATATAAAAGACAAAGGACAAAAGCAATTCTTGAAAATGCCCTAGTTTTTCATTCATTCATTCATTCATCTGTCCATACGGCAATTAGTATTGTTCCTTTGTGTTGATAATATATATATATGGTTCCTTTTCTTTTTGGGAACAGTAAATGAGAATTCCTTTGATGGAAAGAATTCAATCAATGCAAGGATCTAGCATCAAAATACATTACCAAGAAACCACAATAAATTAATGAAAAAGCACACTTGGAACACACATGGTGGTCCATTTCCCCACATATATACTTCTGGTGCCTTTCCCTCAAGCACAAGGCTACATCGTTCTTACACCATTTTGAAGAGTTGCATGTCTTATAAGGTAATCCTATTGAAGATTTAATGATAAAAGAATATCTTGAATTTTCTCTTAATTTTAAATTTGATTATTAGAAATTAGTTTTTAATAAATTATAGATTTTTTAAATTAGTTTTTTAGTATCGACTGTATATTAAGGTCACGTGATTTTTTTTTTAAATAAAAATTCATTTATTAACACCTCTATAACCGTATTACATTTTAATCTAAATTATAATAAAACACATGTTATTTTTTAAACCTATCATGTAACTTTCAAGTACAATCAATATCGAAAAACTTATCGACTATTTATTAAAAAGTATTTAATGATAGTCAAATTAATTTTTTTTCAAAGTTATATGTCTATCTTTATTTGACTGAAAATTTACATTATTTTAAGCTAAATTAATAAAACACTTGTTATTTTTTAAAACTATCACGTGTAATCAATATCGAAAAGCTAATTAGTTATTTATCAAAAAGTATTTAATGATATTCAAATTAAAAATTTTTTAAAGTTAGATGTCTATCTGAATTTAACTGAAAATTTACATTATTTTAAGACCATTTCTTGCTCTATATATAACGCAGGCATTGCATAATTGTTATTTGACGATCAAATCCTATTTGTCTTTTTATCTTATAGAAAATTGTTATGGTTTAGTTATCGGAAAATGAGAAGAAAATTATTTTCATCTCACTAATACCATTATTAACTAAAACTTGATTTAGGAGAAACTTAGTCCTAACGTACCAAAATTTATCCAAAATAGTTGATTAAAACGTGTGACCGAAAAAAAAAAAGCATCCAAAAAAGGGACTATAATAAATAATATTAAGAGTACAAACTTGGACCGTGTCAATACCATCCGTAGACACCAAGTAAAAGACATCGTGCTTACGTCACACGACAGTAAATTCCACGTGGCGATCATCGGTAGCATCAAACACGGTAGCAAAAATCTATGTCACCGGACGAACCCTTTTTGTTTTTTTTTACCTTCTTTCTATTATGACTTAATCCCTGCCACCGACAGTTTTACACGTGCGAGTCACAGAGCCGTGACTGTACTCGTGTCGGTTTCTAAGCCGATCAAAAAGTCATCCCACGTGGGGTTTGTGTGATGGGATTATATTTGGTGCGTACGTACGTAGTTTGATTTAGACAATGTAACCTACTTATGTTTGCATGATAGAGAAGCGATGGAGGGACGGTTTGGTGTATTATACTTTTTGGATTTGTCTTAATTTTGGACCTCTAATTAGTATTTGTTCACTTAATTATTTTTTTCTTTTCTTTTTTTTTTTAATGGAAAATGACTTTATTTTATCAAGTTACAGGTAGTTCAAAAAAATTCAAGTACTCTTTCAACCTACTATCTCTGTCAATAGAATGTACTTAGTGTACGTATTTCTTTTAAGGGAAATAATTTGTTTTGTACAATCTCGGTGTTTAATTTGTCTTCGTATTTTAAAATAAGTCAATTATATTTATGCATTTTAAACGACTTTTCAATATCTGATGCTTATGAATTTTTTTGGTCAAATCATTTTAAAAAATCACATTATTTATATATGATTATTTTTATGTAAAAAATGGCCTTATAAAAAGTGAGTTATGCACATGTTTCGTTGAAAGATATTTTTATTTAAAAAATTCATGTGACTTATATATAAATATTTTATATGGAAAATGACCCTATAAAAAGCGAGTTGTGCACAGGTTCAGTTGATATATATATATAACGTTTTTTTTTTTTATGGTTTGATAAAAAAAATTACTAAAAAAATAAATTGAAAAATTATTTAAAAAACAGGAGCATAATTCACTCGTTTTAGAATATGAATACCGACCCAGTCAATATTCCTTTATTTTAATGGTTAAGATCATGAAATCAACTTTGCTAAGTTAAGACTAAATTCCTCTCCAACCGTGGATTAGACAGATCACCAGGATATAAACATATGTATTTATATGATTTTTTTTTCATAA